AAAAAAAAAAAAAAGACTCAAGCTGGGGAAAAAATAAATAAATAAATGAAGTCTGAAGTCTCTGATTGTTACCTGACCAGTTCCAAGGCAGCTGTCCACAGACAGGCAGCCAAGTGCCCTGGGTTCAGATCCTCAATCTGCTACTTACTGGCTACATTTTCCTTCTCCATGAAGTGAAGATCATCATTCCTGCCTCCCAGGGGTGTTGGGAGAAGTGAGGAGGTGATATATAGACGGTCTCTGTCTATGGCACATATCCGTCTATAACTGATGATAGATGAGTTCTCAGTACAGCGATTACTCCAGAGCATGCCAGGAGTCCAAGTGCAACTCTGGCAGGACAGACCACGTGCTCTGTGAACAAACAACTGTCCTTCTGGATAAAGGGTGTATTTGGCCAGCAGCCAAGGACCCTGGGACAGCTTTGTGTAGCCTGGCCCTTCCTTCCTTTCTTCCTTTCAGCTTGGAGTGGGTGCAGCCTCGCAGAAGTTCGTGTTTCATTCCTAATTACCGCTCAGGCTCTACTATCAGCCTGTCTTTCATTTCTACCACAGGCTTTCAGCCAGGCGGTTTGACAGAATCTCGTCTGGAGCGTGTTAACTCTTTTCCCTCACCGCTGGCAGAGATCTGGGATCTGCTCTGCATTAGGGCAAGTTGTAAGTAAACACACATTTGCTCAAATGTGGTCCCCCCTCCCATCCCATAGCCTTATTTTAGATTTGGGCAGCTTCAAGTCAGGGAACCAAAGAATGCTTGAAAAAGACTTTACAAGTCATTTGATTGAACCTACCAGTTTTACAGAGTAAATTGAAGATGTTTGGTTAAGTCACTCATGTTTATATAGACAACTTGAGGATACAGATAGAGCTGGAAGTCAAGTCCTCTGTCTCTTAGTCCAAAACTTTTTCCACAATAAGCCAGTACCTCAATCATTCATTCATTCCTTCAAAAAATGTGTATTGAGCATCTAACACCTTATGCCCGGTCCTTTTGTGGGCACTGGAGAAACAGAGATATAAGAAACGATCTGCCCTTGAAGTGCTTATGAACTATCTATTTGTCCATCCATCCATCTAATGCATCTGTCTATTCATTCATCCATCCATTTCTTCTGTCCATCTCTCATTCATCTATTCATCTTCATCCTTTTGTACATTTGATTTTGTCCGTTCATTTCTCTATCTCACCATCCATTTGTCCTCGTATCTATTCACCTTTCTATCTGTCCATTTATCCTCGTTCTCATCCATAACCTGTTCTTATTTCCGTGAGTCTACTTCTCTTTTGATCCATCCATTGGTATCTTCATCCATCCAGAATTTATTGAGTGTCTATATGGCTCTAGGTTTTTGGTTGGTAGTCAGGACTGAGATAAATAAGCATTTGTATTTGAGTTGTATGAACATATGCTTTCTTGTCTCATTGTTAAATACCTTGGAGTGGAATGGCTGGATCATGTGGTAGATATTTAACTTTTTAAGAAACTGCTAAAATGTTTTTCAAATAATTTTTACCCTTTTACATGTCTACAAGTTCCTCCACAGCCTTCCCAACTTTTTGCATGGTCAGTCTTTTTAATTTTATTCATTCTAGTAGGTATAGTTTTAATTTTGTTATTCCCCTAATGACAAATGTTGGTAAGCACCTTTTCAGGTGCTTATTTGCTATCCATATATCATTTTGGCAAAGTGCATAGAAATCTTATGCCCATTTAAAAAATTGAATTGTTTATCTTCTTATTGAGTTGTGTTTATTTTTAGTACACATGTATTCTGCATTGAAGTTCTTTATTCAGAGATAAACTTTACAAATATTTTTTCTCCATCTGTGGCTGTCTTTTCCTTCTCTTAATAGTGTTTTTCAAAGAGCAGAGTACATTAATTTTGGTGAAGTCCAATTTATTAATTTGTTCTTATATGAATCTTTCTTTAGATGTCATGTAATAATTTGTGCCTAGCACAAGGTCACAAAGATTTTCTCTTATGTTTTTGTCCTATCTGACTTATTGTTTCAAATTTTACATTTAGGTCTATGATAGATTTTGAGGCAGTTTTTGTAAATGCTGCAAGGTATGGATCCAAGTTCACTTGTTTTGCACATGAATATCCGGTTGTTTTACCACCATTTGTTGAAAAGATTGCTTTCTCTACTGAATTGCCTTTGTGCCTTTGTTAAAATCAGTTGTTTACTCCGATAGCAATGAGCACACCTAGTGCCCAGATCTTGGTTTTTAATACTATTCTTCAATAAAAGGATCCAGGGCTCCTTGAAGAAGTGGCTGATTTTAGGACTGGGGCAGGAAATGTATGAGATGAACCGGGAGCATCTTGTAGTGCCAGAAAGTAAGGAAGTGCTGAAAAAAGAAAATCCTCTATTGAGGGGGGTTTGTCAGAAGAACACAGCAGTAACTGAAAGAGCTGCCAATTTGAATAATTTGAGCAACACTATATAAATAAAGTAATATTAGATTATAACCCAAAGTATAAAAGTATGTATCCATGAGTATATGTTGATATACATGATTGAATAAATAAATGCAGAGAAGAGAGAAATTTCTCTTGCAGAAGAATTTCAAATAATTTATGTAGATATTCCACCTTTAAGGAAGTGGAGCATAACTCCCCACTCATTAAGTGTGGGCTGCGCATAGTGACTTCCTTCTGAAGAGTATAGTATAGAAAGGGCAGGGGAAGAATAATTTTACAGTGGAGAAAAGTGATAGTTACTGTCTCCGCCAGTGATTAAGGTTAACTTCAACAGATAAATCATGTTGATGGTATATACTTTTGATATAATATGATGAGAATGGCGCTTTATCTCTAAAGTCTTCCTTCCCCAAACACGTACTCCAGTCTAATTATGGAAACATCAGATGAATCCCAATTGAGGGATATTCTACAAAATGCCTGAGCAGTACTTTTCAAAACTGTCAAGGTCATCAAAAACTAAGAAAGTCTGAGAAAGTGTCACAGCTAAGAGGACCCTATGGAGACATAACAGTTAAATGTAATGTGGATAGGATCCTGGAACAGAAAAAGATATTAGTTAAAACTAAGAAAATCTGAATAAACTATGGACTTTAGTTAATAACAATGTACCAATATTGGTTCATTAATTATAACAATTATACTAATGTAGGATGTTAATAATAGGGGAAACTTGGTGAGGGGCATATGGGAACTCTATGTACAATCTTCACAATTTTTCTATAAATCGAAAACTTTTCTAATAAAGTCTGTATTTAAAAAATCCATTGTTTATATATATATGGATCTCTCTATTCTACTTCATTGATCTATTTGCTGTTTTTTTAATTGAGGTTATAATAGTTTATAACATTGTGAAATTTCAGTTGTACATTATTATTTGTTGGTCACCATATAAATGCGCCCCTTCACCCCTTGTGCCCACCCCCCAACCGCCTTCCCCTGGTAACCACCAAACTGTTCTCTCTGTCTGTGTGTTAGTTTATCTTCCACATATGAGTGAAATCATGTGGTGTTTGTCTTTTTCTCTCTGGCTTATTTCACTTAACATAATACCCTCTAGGTCCATCTATGTTGTTGCGAATGGGACGATTTTGTCTTTTTTTATGGCTGAGTAGTATTCCATTGTGTATATACGTATACACTACATCTTCTTTATCCACTCCTCAGTTGAGGGACACCTGGGTTGCTTCCACTTCTTGGCTATAGTGAATAATGCTGCAATGAACATAGGGGTGCATAAACCTCTTTGGATTGTTGATTTTAAGTTTTTTGGATAAATACCCAGTAGTGGGATAGTTGGGTCATATGGTATTTCTATTTTTGATTTTTTGAGGACTTTCCTGTCTTGACATGAGTACAGCCATGTTTGGCCGCTCCATTGACCTACAGCCACCAGCGCAAAAAGAAATATAAAAGCGGCTTTCTGCGTGGTGGGAACTGGCCCTTCTCCCATGGAGATAGTTGCAATGTGTAAAAATTTCAAGGCCTTTCGGGCGCTGCAGCCTGGGACAGACTGGCCATCTGTGCCGGGCTGGGACGATAACCAGAGAAAACAACGCACGTACACAACTACTGGGCTGGGACGACAGCCGGGGCGCTCAGTGCACGTACGCCACTGATAACCATTTGTGCATGGGAACACTAGATGCTTGCTCTGTAAACTCTGTAACTGCTTATATAAACTGCTGGAAACTGAGACCCGGTGAGAGTT